TTGAGGCTCCGTCTCAAAAAAAAAAAAAAAAAAAAAATACCACTTGTTCTGATCATTCCACAACATTTTCCTGCCTCCTTAACAGCCTCAACCGACCAGGAAGAGCTGGAAGGAGGGAGAGGAAGAAGTGGCCCCAGGGCCTGTCAGGGAGGATGTGGGTGGAGCTGAGGAGCTGGGGGGAGCTTAGGAGCAGATGTCTCTCCCTCCCCAACCCTGACTCCAGCCTCTTATCCACTTCCCATTGTCAGGAAGGGCGCCCACGGGTGCTACCTCTTGCCAAATACCTGTCCCTGTCCTTGCCACTCTCAGTTCCAGACCTGACCCCCGACATTCAGCCACTCATCTCCATTCTCCTGTGATGCCCCTCTGTTCACATCTCATCCCTGACAGGAAGTGCCTAAGAGGCTCCCAAAGGCATGCAGTTGTAATTCTTTTTTTTTTTTTTTTTTTGAGACAGAGTCTCAAGCTGTCACCCTGGGTAGAGTGTTGTGGCGTCACAACTCACAGCAACCTCCAACTCCTGGGCTTAAACGATTCTCTTGCCTCAGCCTCCCAAGTAGCTAGGACTACAGGCACCTACCACAACGCCCGGCTATTTTTTGATTGTAGTTGTCATTGTTGTTTGTCAGGCCAGGGCTAATTTGAACCCACCAGCTCCTGTGTATGTGGCTGGCGCCCTAGCCGCTGAACTACCGGCGCCAAGCCTGCAGTTATAATTCATTCTCTTCTTGACTATACCATGGTGCCTGTGGAGCTGTACCTGACCCCATTAGAAGGTTGTGAGGTCCCCAAGGGGAGAGATAGGGTTGTGTTCATCTTGGAGTCTCCTGTGCTCTAGAACATAATAGGTGTTACTTGTGTCTGGAATTTGTGTTTTCTGATTAAGAACAGCTGTGATTATATGCCTCTGGGAGCCAGTGAACACACACACACTTACAATGGAGGAAAACACAGATACTCCTCAATTTATGACAGGGTAATGTCCCAGCAAACCCATCGTAAGTTGAAAATATCTTAAGTTGAAAATGCATTTAATATACCCAATCTCCTGAACATCATAGCTTAGCCTACCCTGCCTTTTTTTTTTGAGACAGAGCCTCAAGCTGTCCCCCTGGGCAGAGTGCCGTGGCATTACAGCTCACAGCAACCTCCAACTCCTGGGCTCAAGCGAG